AAATTGTTGAAGCGCTGCAGACCGGGAGTGGCCTAAAGAGAGTTTTGCGGGAAAATCTTCCTTGAATGGAAGCCGCACAATATACCGACCGTTTGGGGCACGAGTCGTGGTTTGCTTGTATATGTTTTCGCAAGCTTGATCCTCATTAGTAATTTGTGGAGTTGAAGGAATTTCTTCCTCTTCCCAGAATTTTCTCAATTGATCACCAAGTGTATCAGTTGAGATTTCTTCTACTTGTGTCGAGAATGACACCACTTTTTCGGTTACTGGACCGCTAAGGATCCAGCCGAATATAGTGTTTTGCGCAAGTACTGTGTCGCATATTGTTTGTACACCTTCCACGAGAATTTGTGGGAGTATGTCACTGCCTATTACCATGTCGGTTTGAGCTGGTATATAGCAGTTTAGGTCAGCTAGTTCAAGGATTTTGAACTGTTGCCAGGTATTACGGCTTAAGGTAAAGGTTGGCAAATGCCTCGTTAGCTTTTGTAGCAAGATGGCTTGGACATTGATCCGTTGCTTGGTTTTGGATGATACCAGAGTCAAGAGACAAAGTTTGGATGAGGTTTGCACGATTTGTCCACCCATTCCAGAAATTTCGAACTTGGAATGTTCGACTGGAAGACGCAACCTTTTCTGAACTTTCGATGAAATGAAAGTTCGTTGTGAGCCTTGGTCGACTAAGGCTCTGAGTTGAAACAATTCTCCTTGGTGTTCCACTGCGATAATGGCAGTTGGAAGGAGAGTTCTGCTATCGTGCCTCGCGTGTAATGATTGATTGCTAAGAGCAGCACGGTTGCTCGCTTGGATTAGAGCATGTATGCGCTTGTCGAACTGGAGAAGTTGACTTGGCAGTTGGGTGTTGCACAGTAGAGTTATGAGAACTGCTGCTGCCATTTTGAGCGTTTGGTTTTACATTTAGATGCAACAAGGAGTGATGCCGTAACTGGCAATGTACACATGCAAACCTGCTCGTACAATCATTACTGTGATGACTTCTTGATAAGCAGTTTTTGCAGAATTTATTCTGCTTCGCAAAACGTATTCTGTTTGATACCGATATTTTCTTGAAATTGTGGCACTGCGAAATTGCGTGTCGGGAATTGCAGCACGGACATGTGTTATCCCTGTTTTGTTCCGCCACAAATGATTGTATCCTGTTAAAGGATCTATTGTGAGCGATGTTTTGAGTGGCGACTGGTTTTGGTTTGTTTTGGCTTGGATGAAGCCGATTAAGACGCTCCACCACTTCGTATCTAGAAGTGAGGAAGTCATTCATTTGCGACCATGCTGGCAACTCTTTTCGAGATGCAAGAGATTGCTCCCACAAGGATAATGTGGTTTCAGGTAGTTTGGAGGAGCATATATAGACCAACATTGGATCCCAACTGTCTGTAGATTCGCCTCGGGAATTTAAGGCGGACAGACAGCCATTTATTGTTGTTTGCAGTCTTTGTATTTGCTCGCTATTTTCGGTTTGTACGTTGGGCAGCGAGAGTAGGGCTTTTATTTGGTTCTCCACTAGATTACGTTTGTTTTCGTATTTTGCCCGTAATGCCTCCCATGCTAGCACGAAATTATCATCGCTCAATGGGTATTGTTTGACGATTAAGCCAGCTTTGCCTCCCGTTTTGTACCGGAGATGGTACAACTTTTGTGCACGGGAGAGCTTAGGGTGGTTAATGTAGACTCACAGCTGTCATATCACGAAAAGCTGGCCATTCTTCATAACCCCCATAGAATGTCTCTGTGTCGCAGGCTGGGACTTTCAGGCATATATTTGAAGAGAAAGCTTCTTCTGGAATTCGTTCCACACGAGAAGGTGGACTCGGCTGAGTAGCTGCTCGAATTAATTCGAGCTGGTCTGCTATCCTCATCTTTGTATGCTCATATGTATCATGGCATGTGAAATATTTATTGTCTGCTGAAATTTTAAAATTTTCGGGCAGACATTCATCGGGCTTTGAACAAACCTCTTTATAGACAGTTTTGAATTCTGCCCAACACTCATCTAGTGATTTGTCTTTGATTTTTAGGTACGTTTCCGTGTGATCCTGAATAGGGGAATCACTGAATCGGGAACAGTATCTAATGACATTGTCACTTAATGAAATTAATAGTTGCGCTGAAGGATCGATCTGTTTAGACCTGCGCGTTTGTGACGATTCCCTTTTAGTGCTTAGGGCTTCGAGTGAAGATCTCTTCTTTGTTTCGGAATTTGACATTTTGGATTCCTTAGTACCTTTGGTAGGACCAATTGGTGTTAAAAGGAAAAATGTATTTAAAGGTCGCAATATAAAATATTGAAACTCGAATTGAGTTTTTACGACATTACATTACATTTTTTGCCGAAAAGGAATAATAAAAAAATCACAAACACTTTCACTTTTATAAACGTGGGTTATATACGTGTATAATAAAAGTAAATGTAATAAATAATTTCTAAATAAATTAAAATTATTCAATTGTCAATTATTTAATATTTATATCGAAATGATATATTTCGTTTAAAAATAGCGGACAGAACAATTCCCTATTGGGTTTTTAAACGATTTTGTATCTCGTTGTCAAGATTTCAGCATAGACATGTAAATATGTATGCATGCATATTACAATTGTAAACAGATACAACAGCTGTTTGAATATACACGACTATATTTGTATATACGTATGTGTGTATATTTGTGTCAACAAATATTTTGACCTCAGCTGCTCGCGCAACGAAGAGAGCGCTAAAAAGATAATATGTTGTAAAACAATAAGAGCAGAAATAAAGAGTACAATATATGCTTCTCTTGTAATGTCGAGAGCGAATATCGCACAAAGCGTAAATTGGAAAAATGCAGTGAGTAGATCACTTGCAGTAAAGTTAACTCTTTAAAGCTGCGCTCTTTTAGCAGAGTGGTGAATATCTTCCACTTTATTGACTTTCTGCTATTTTTTCTTATGCTGTATTTCAGAGGGCATTGAACCATGGAGAACAGCTGACAATGCAAATAATTATAAGATTGACCTATTAATGCAAGTAGGCTTTATAACTGCAATTAGGTTTAGTATTTGTACTTGTAATGTATCTATGTACATAAGCGGAATGTATACAGTAGGAATGCTCTATTCGCGCTTATGTATATACAATAATTAGCGGTCAAGGCAATTGATCGCTTACCCCTTCTTTTGCGGGAGTTGAAACTGCAAAAATATTATATATTTTTTATAAAATATTATGAGCCGTAAATTTCAACGGAATTTAGGAACCGTAAAATTCTCTTGTTTTTAAAGGGCTTTTGGCGGGAAGAAAGTTCCGCTGTTAGAGAAGTATATGAGAATATACTAATTGCAGTATAAATATTTAAATGCTCTTTTTAAGGAAATTAAAAAGATTGCCTACTTACTACTTAGGCTTCCAAACTGTGGTTTCTTCCCTTTTATATGTATGTATGTGTGATGTTGTGGTGTTTGTAGTGATTGTGGCAAGTTCCTGTGTCGTGGTGTCTTCCTTGTTGATGTCCTTTTGATGATTTAGTGTTCACCTTTTTGCACTTTTGTTTATACGTACAAACGTATGTATCCTTTTTTTAA